TGTTCGGAGTCCCAGATGTGACCACGGACATGACGAGGAGTCTCGAAATGGTCGAGACATAAAGATTGATATATTGGAAGCCTATGTTTGGACATCGGAAGTGTTCCGGGTGAAATCGGCATTTTACCGGAGTATCGGGAGGTTACCGGAACCCCCCGGTAACCTAATGGGCCTTAATGGGCCTAGTGGAGAAAGAGGAGAGGAGGCCTAGGGGCTGCCGTGCGCCCTCCCCCCCCCTCAAGTCTGAATTGGACAAGGAGGGGGGGCGGTGCCCCCCCTTTCCTTTCTTCCCTCTCCTCCTTCCCCCCCCAAGTCCTAATCCAACTAGGGAAAGGGGGGAGTCCTACTCCCGGTAGGAGTAGGACTCCTCCTGCGCGCCTCCTCCTAGGGCCGGCCGCACCTCCCCTTGCTCCTTTATATACGGGGGCAAGGGGGCACCTCTAGACACACAAGTTGATCCTCGTGATCGTTTTCTTAGCCGTGTGCGGTGCCCCCTTCCACCATAGTCCTCGATAATATTGTAGTGGTGCTTAGGCGAAGCCCTGCGACAGTAGAACATCAAGATCATCACCACGTTGTCGTTCTGACGGAACTCTTCCCCGACACTTTGCTGGATCGGAGTCCGGAGATCATCATCGAGCTGAACGTGTGCTAAAACTCGGAGGTGCCGTAGTTTCGGTGCTTGATCGGTCGGATCTAAAGACGTACGACTACATCAACCGCGTTGTCATAACGCTTCCGCTTTCGGTCTACGAGGGTACATAGACAACACTCTCCCCTCTCGTTGCTATGCATCACCATGATCTTGCGTGTGCGTAGGAATTTTTTTGAAATTGCTACGTTCCCCGACAAAGTCAACCTCCTCGCCGTTGCTTGAGTCCTCACTCTCCTCCCCATCTTCTTCATTGGATTTCCAGTCACCGCTTTCACCTCCGCTCGCCTCTCCGTCCTGATCCTGCTCTCCATTGGGCATCGAGTACATCTCAGTGTAAACCTGCAAGGCAAAGAATAGCACAGACATCAGTCGAGCACAAGGACAGTTACAAATCAGAATGAAGAAACACTCGCCAGTAAAGAATAGACCTTTTCAGGTTCATTGTCAGCATTGAATGGTAGAACTCTCCTAGACCCCCTAGGTATGTCTTTGTTTCCAGTGATGCCCTGCAACCACTGCTCCACCATTTCCTCGGTGACCTCCTCCGGGTGGATCCGAGTGGTGTCTTCAATACCCGAGTACATCCACATAGGATGATCGCGGGCCTGGAGTGGCTGGATGCGTCGACTGAGAAACACCTCCAGCAAGTCCATACCAGTCACGCCGTCGCGGACTAATTGGACTAATCGTTCCACTAGCATGTTCACCTTTGCTTTCTCTCCTGAAGTTACTTTCAAAGAAGTAGGTTGCTGGACTCACTCCATGGAGAAGGGAGGAAGACCGGTCGACTGGCCAGGAGTTGGTTGGTCCTTGAAATAAAACCAGGTCGATTGGCACCCTCTAGCTGAATCGGGAAGAATCACAGCTGGAAAAGTACTTTTGCCTATCGTCTGAATCCCTAGACCTCCACACATCTGGATCACATGCGTCCTTTCATCACTCGAATTAGCCTTTTTCATAGACTGAGAGCGACAAGTAAAGATGTGTTTGAAGAGACCCCAATGCGGTCGACAACCCAGGAAATTCTCACACATGGAAACAAATGCAGCGAGGTACGTGATGGTGTTGGGGGAAAACTGATGAAGTTGGGCTCTAAAAAAGTTCAGAAAACCCCGGAAGAAAGGATGGGGGCAGTGAGAAACCACGGTCAACGTGAGTCGTGAGGAGGACGCACTCACCCTCCTGCGGCTGCGGCTCGGTCTCGTTGCCCGGCAGCCTCCAAGATCCGTGGGCAATCAAGCCCCCTTCGGCCAGATCCTCCTGTTGTATCGTGGACCGAATCCAGTCGCCCTGGATCCAGCAGTGCGGCAGGCCGGACCTCGAAGACGATCCCCCCGACTCGTCTTCTTGCCCTTCGGCTTCACCGTCATCATCGCCGTCACCTTCTTGGCATGCTCTAGGGCTGCCGTCTTGTCCTTCCCCATCACCGCGGACTGCTCACGAGTGGAGCGGTGGCGTCGAGAGCAGCGGACAGCGAGGTGGAGAAGCAGAGGAAGAAAAAGAAGAAGAAGAAAAGAAGAAGAAGAAGAAGAAGAAGAAGAAGAAGAAGAAGAAGAAGAAGAAGAAGAAGAAGAAGAAGAAGAAGAAGAAGAAGAAGAAGAAGAAGAAGAAGAAGAAGAAGAAGAAGAAGAAGAAGAAGAAGAATGGGATGCGCTGTGCAGACACACCGGCCATGGCGCCTTTTATTAGCCCGCTTTCGAGTGACTGACATGTGGGCCCGAGAGATCCTGTCAAATCCTGCAACAGTCGCGCGCTCGGTACATGGCGAAAAAGGTGGCGTGGAGATCGAGGCGCCCTTGCCTAATTCGTCCCGTTTACTACGATGCTCTCCGTCCCGTGCACTTCCCCAAATTTTGAATCTCGTGAGGTCCGGGAATGGCGGTGCAACCAATCACGCCCAAGATTTCATACCACTCCAACACTCGAAGCACATCAGAATAAATTCAGTCGACAAACTCTGAATGGATCAAGGTGACTGAAAACAAAGTTGAAGTTCCAGCGTCGTTCGCCGACCTAGGTAAAATGCCCCTGAAGCATAAGAATCAGGTTGGAACTATCTCTAACCTCTTCTCCCCTTGAACCTCGACCCATTCGGGGGCTAATGACGATGATATGTACCTAGGGTAGGGTAATAGGCTTGACCTAAACACCCTTCCCAAGGACACTGCCCTAATATCAACAGTATTCAAAACACAGCAGCATCCACCGACTGGAATCACCTCAGAGTGCAACCCACTAGACCAACAATTCCACTCGGATAACCCAGTTCCATTCGACCAGTATATCATCATTCAACCATACTAGAAACCACTTGGAGTACAGAAGATCTAAAATCACTCAGGATGGCAACGGTCAGGAGTTCACTCCGTAGCGTTAATGATCATTTATATGTCTTTATTGTTGGCGTTACCAGTAACGTCTCATCTTAATGTACATTGAACTCCTTGTAACATGGGCTGGCTGAAGTCTTGGCGCACTCTATATAAGTCACCCCCTCCACTAGCACAAGGGTTCGCACCCCCTGTAACTTCACGCATAATCTAGTCGACCGCCTCCGGGCACCGAGACGTAGGGCGTTTACTTCCTCCGAGAAGGGCCTGAACTCGTAAATCTTGCATGCACAATCTCATCGTAGCTAGGATCTTGCCTCCTCATACGTACCCCCTATTCTACTGTCAGACTTAGAACCACGACAACCTCCTCTTCCCCCTCCTTTATATACGTGGGAGGGGGGCACCCCAAAGGCACACCAAGTCTTCTCTTAGCCGTGTGCGGTGCCCCCTCCACAGTTACACAGCTTGGTCATATCGTCGTAGTGCTTAGGCGAAGCCCTGCGCCGGTAACTTCATCATCATCGTCAACACGCCGTCGTGCTGACGAAACTCTCCCTCGTCCTCAACTGGATCAAGAGCTCGAGGGACGTCATCGAGCTGAACGTGTGCTGAACGCAGAGGTGTCGTACGTTCGGTGCTAGGATCGGTTGGATCACGAAGACGTTTGACTACATTAACCGCGTTACTAAACGCTTCCGCTTTCAGTCTACGAGGGTACGTAGACACACTCTCCCCTCTCGTTGCTATGCATCTTCTAGATAGATCTTGCGTGATCGTAGGTAAAAAATTTGAAATACTGCATTCGCCAACAGCCATAGTACAAGGGGAGCGGGTGCATGGATGGTGCTTCGGACGTTCGGCAAGGCTTGGGTGGCGGCCGAAGAGGTACAATGGCGGCAGAGGAGGAGGGGGTGGATGCAAAGTAAGGAGGAAATTTCAGTGGGTTGGGGTGTCGGAGTTCCACGTGGCTGCTTTCCGAAATCTCGCAAGCCTTTTTTGAATCGGTCAGCCGACCGATACAGAATCATGTTAGATGACATAACAAGTTCGGACCATGTTGTTCGGACAGATACAAATTGATGGTCCGCTTTGGAGATGCTCTAAGGGCATGTACAATGCATAGCCTCAAGGTGAGGCCTCGCATGCCATGTAGGATCGAATATGACGTAAAGTAGGTTCAGATAGGGAAGCGGGATCCTCTTCAGGAGGCGGGTCCTTGAAGAGAAAAAGTGTGGTCCGGTGACAAAAGCTGAAAATGCTTGAGTGAAAGTAGAGATGCATGTGTACTAGTCTTTATTTTCTATTTCTTAATGAGGCCCATTAATGATAGCTTGCATTGGGGAGAAAACATAAATATAGGTGCCTTAAGTTATTTTTTGTCATGGGACATATGTATCCATATGTCACCATTATACATGCCCTAAGGGCATATGACCAATGCATAGACTCAAACTGATGCCTTGCCATGTAGGCTCGGGTGTCAAAAAAATTGGTCCGAATGGTCCTATGGGATCTGGAGGCACATGCTTGGGAAAAGAGAGAGTGGTCCTAAGGTAAAAGATAGAAAAAGTAGTAGGAGATGCATGCATATCCTAAATTCGTTTTTATTTGCTTAATGACGCCCACACTACTTTTTCTTGTAGGGCAGCCACATGGTGATGCCTCCCTAGTTCGTGCCTCGAGAGGAATTTTTCTTCACCTTTTATGATTCGAAACTTGCATTGCGAGTGGGAGGCTGGATGGGGACCGACACAAAAGCAAGTCGACTCGAGCATCCCTGCTTTCGCTGCGGCAGCACGGTTTTAACTAATTTACCAACGGCAAAAGAGGATAGGCGGTCCATTTCGTTGTACCTGAAGATCTCCATAAACAAGAGCAAGAAAACATAGGCCTCCCTCACCGTCTGCCTGCTGCCTACTACAGTAGGAGTATCTGTCTCCTCTGCTCTGAAACAAATAAGCGCACCAATCCCGGTGCGCCGTCTGCCTCTGCCTGCCGACCTCTCCAGACGGATGGGCATGGGCTGCCTCCACCAGCGGCTCGGCCGCACGCGTACGCCCTCTCCCTTCTCCGAGCTTCACTGCCTTCTTTTCCTCGGGAATTTCGCGCACGCGTACCAATCTGTCTCTCTGTGGCTTTGCTTTCGGAAAACCAGGTGCTCTGCCGTTCGTGAGGAGGTTCAAGCCGAGCGAGATCGAGGCGGCCACCAGAGGCTTCAGCACGGCCCTCGAGACCGGCGGGCCTCGCGGCACGGCGTACCGCGCCCGCTTCGCTGATGGCCTCGTCGCCACGGTGCGCCGTGCGGGCAGCGGCGACCCGGACCAGGAAGGGCAGGAGGGCGCCTTCTACCGGGAGCTGCAGCTGCTCGGCCGCCTCAACCACCGACACGTCGTCAGGCTCCGCGGCTTCTCAGAAGGACACAACAGGTTCACCCACGGCGCCATTTTTATTAGTACTGTATTTTTCTCTTCTCCTAACTAATCTTCTGATTTGCGCTTCTCTTTCTTGTTACAGGTTTCTGGTGTTTGATCAGATGGAGAACAGGAGCCTGAAAGAATGCCTCCACGGTAATAAATTCTTGAGGGAGGGATATCTCTTGTGCTCTTCAGTTAAGCTGCCACACTGATGATGCGTCCTGCTGCAACAGATCCTCTTAGGACGCCACTCAACTGGAGGACCCGGTTGCAGGTTGCCATAGATGTCGCAGCAGCCCTGGTAATCCTTTCTGCTAACGACCACTGCCACATCCACAACACTTCAAAATTTGACGCAAGAAAGATAACACCATTTATTTTCGTGATTGATTTTGAGTGGATGCAGGAGTATCTCTACTACTTCTGCGACCCTCCGGTGTTCCACGTGACGGTGAACTCGAGCAACGTGATGATGGATGCTGATTTCGTCGCCAAGGTGAGTCACATTGGTACGTTGCAGACGATGCTATCTGTCCTGGCCCGCCAATAGATCGATCGAGCAACTGAATTTGTACTAAGTTTCAGCTATCGAACGTCAGTGTCGTCGGTCACGACTCTTCCGAAGGATCCCACGCCGAAGGTTCTCTTGGCCATTTTTATCATCACTTTGTCTGACACGTCTGGAATGGCACTGACACTGACACTAGAGCCTGCGTGTTCTTTCTCCAGAGCGAATTCAGCAGAGGCGGACGGAGCTGGTGTTCCAGTACGGCGTGTTGCTCCTGGAGCTCGTCACCGGACAGTCGCCCGGGGGCGGCGACGGCGAGCTCGTGCGGTGGGTGCAGGAGCCAGGGTTCGCCGGATCCATGCAGAGGATGGTGGACGCGGATCTCGGGGGCACCTACGACGACGGCGAGCTCCGGGACCTCGTGATAGTCGCGAGGCTCTGCACTAGGCCTGGCAGCGGCACCGCCGTTGTCTCGATCCCACAGGTACTCCGCTACTTGCAGGGGAAGGTGGGTGACAAAAACAGATGACAGTAATCTTGTGTACGTAGCTCTTCTTTTTGTCCTTTGCTTGCGGGTGAATGCAATGCAAATTGCAATTACTCCCTCTGTTTCAAATTACTCGTCGCAGAAATGAATGTATCTAAAACTAAAATACATCGAGATACATCTATATCTGTAACAAGTAATTCGAACGAAGGGAGTATGTATTGTACATCCACGCAGAGATATTATATGACATCGGTGGCGAAGAAGTCTCCACGCAATTTTTTTTATTTTTTTTGCGGGTGGAAGGTGGAAGAAGTCTCCACACATTAAAAATATCTGGACAGAAACTCCAAAACTCGGTTCTCTTTTGCAAGACTGTTAGTAAAGTTGGTTTGTTACCATCAAGTTCCTGCATTCCAAACAAGTTTTTTTTTTGGAAAAAGGAGGATTACCCCGGTTTTTGTATTAGAACGATGCATTTCAAACGAGCTGGTAATGATAAACTGACCAATAATTCTCAATAATTTTAGTGGGCTTTTTTTTCAATGGAGGCTAAGAAAGTTCTCGGAGTTTAAGTTTGAAATTACATGTGTAATTTGATTTTTTTTATCAAATAATCTAACTACAATTCTGATATTAACTCAACAAAGTATATCAGGATCTAGCCCCTGAAAAAAATACCCTCTCCCATCTCTTTTAAAAGGTTCGACCATGCCTTCTAGTCAATATTTGATCTAGAGGTCCCCTGAGTGAACGATTCGTTCACTATGGGAGGGAGGATCGAGCGAACCAAAATGTCCGCTAACCTCTCCAACGCGACTGAGGACAGTTTGTTTTGTGAGCCTCCTCCCATCATCATTACTAACAGCCAGGAAAAAAGTCAAAACTGCTTTCAAAAAAAGGAAAAAGTTCAAAACTAAAACCGGTAAAAATAAATAAAATAGAAACACTTGCCATAAAAAAATAGATTTGTCATCATATATAGCATCAATTTGCAAATTGTCAATAAAAACACATAAAAAATTCTCTAATTTTCATGATGTCTGAAAACCCAAAAATCATAAATTTTGCCATGTCACGAACACAAATTTACCTAAATTATCTTTAAAATGCAACAAAAAATGACATGGCACACATGTGATATACAAACAAAAAGTTGTCATGATCCATGGCAAAAACTATATAAAAACTGAACACAAGCACATAGCAAATTTGCCATGATTTTTCATTTGCAATGATTTAACAATCAAATTTACCTAAATTTGCCATGTCCAAAAGAACAATGCAAGTGTGTGGCAAAAATTGTTGTGTTTTGGAGACCAAAAATGTTAAATTGCCATGAGGTTATATGAAATCACCATTGAAAATATTTTTGCCATTGTGTGTATTTTGCATTTCTATCTTGGAAAAAAGAGATGGAAAACTATCTACATTTCTCGTGTGACAAGATATACAAAATTGCCATGATTTAGAGTAAACAAAAAAGGCCTAAATTTTCCTTGAGAACCAAAAATAAAATTGACATCCTCCCAACAATAAATCTAACACGATATAATTAATAAAATCACCATGGTGTAAAGGAATAAAATTGCCATGCTACCTAAATATAAATTGGAATGACCTAATTAATAAATTTATCATTTCTAAATAAATAAAATATCCATGGTATCTACAATAAAACTACCATGGTCTAATTAACAAAATTACCACGGTCAAATTAATAAATTTTCCGTGGTAACTATAATGAAATAACGTGGAAGCTCATGTACCAATATTAGCACACCGTGCCAAGCTTTATAATTTTTTTGAGAAATTTATTTAAAGAATTTTTTCTAAAAAGTTGGAAAAAATGCTAAAAAAATGTTATTGGATAAAAATGGTTATTTTAGTTCACATTCCTTATTAAAATGTTAAACCAAGGTCTAGGAAAATTTAAAGTGGAAAAATGATCTAGCGATCCCTGAAAAAGGGTTGTAGCTATTTTCATGGGATGTTATGGGCGATAGTCCACTTGGTGAATGATCATTTCTATTAGTTGGATGTTCATCAACAAAATCCAACTCTAAGCCCGGACTCATTTGCAACCCGTGAACGGTATTGTTAAAGAAAATACTAAAAAAATAAAAAATAAAATGATTTTTTGCATGGAAGATATTTGAGTGTGTGAGGTTCGTGCCAATTGTCGGCGCATTCGGACATCTAAGTAGCTATCAAGGAAAAAAATCAGCCCGAACAAGTAAACTTTTTTATAGATCCTAATTTTTTTTACTGAGAGCTACTCACATGTCCAAGTGCGCTGTAATTTGGCACACAGATCATACACTCAAGCATCTTCCATCCCAGAACAATTTGGATTTTTTTTTGAATTTTCTTTTAGTACACGGAAATTACCGTTCACGTGTGGGGCTCATCTGTGCCCCGAGAGCCAAAACGCTGCTCTCTTTTTATCATGACATATTGTAGCAATCATAGGACAATTGGCCAATTTTTAGTACTTTGTGACAACATTTAGATATTATTTCATTTTCCCCTCTTAAATAGCCAGATAAAAAATAAAGTATGATTATTACCAACAAAAGATGTTTTTAATTTACATTTATTTGTACATATCTTAAACTAATGTGCAGGAATTTTTTTGAGTTGGTAAAGTTTTCACATGGTCACCAGAAAAGGATTTTTTTTGGATATTTGCATCGGATGTTAGGGGAGATAGTCAATTTGGTGAACGATCATTATTTCTCTTACTTGTATTCTTCACAAATTTAATTCGTAACTTACTATACCAATATTAGGGATCCTAACCAATTTTTAGTATTTTTTGACAACATTTAGATATGCTTTACCACCCCCCCCCCCAATTAACAAAGAAAATGCTAAATTGCAATTATTACATGACAAATGGTGATTTTAAGTCATACGAAAACGTAGGACAAATGGTGATTTTAGTACTATTATATATTTCTTGGAAAACGTAGTAGAAAACAAAAAATGTCATACGAATCTAATTCCGGGATCACTATGAAGATCGTGCATACAAGTTCACATATGATTTTACCAACAAATGAGTTGCCGCGAAAGAAGAGCCGGTGAAGATGATCTCGAAGTTCGTCGATCCGTCCCATGAACAGTTCCCTCAAACAAGAATCAAACTTACGATCCCTCTCTGGATTGCACACATACAACACCATTGATCTGGCAGCGCTTCGCCATCCAAAGCTAAAACGATGCTTGAGTACAAGAGGAGGAAGGAGCGGCCCTTCGAGAGGGATCAACTATTGTGAAGAATGAGAGCAAGAAGGGGGCAACCCTTGCACCTGAAGAGGTGCCTTTGGAGGGGTTGTCCCCTCTCATATATAGGCGCTAGGGGGTTGTGCCCCCCACCAAAAACCCTAGGGTGGTGGCCCCCAACTTGCCCCTCAAGCCAAGGGGGCGGCGACCACCCCCC